ACCGGGCCGGCCCCGAGACTGCATCTTTTGCTGTTTGCTTTAAAAGTACAGTAAGTTCTGCTGGAGCACAACAACATTCCTAAAAACTGCCATGTGATGCAAAAATCGAGCCATAAAAACACAGGGCTTTTGGGAACAATAGGGTTAGGTACACAACACCCCAAAACGTCATCCATGACATAAAAAAAGATAAGAACCTGATTTAAAAAATGGTAGCATATTAAACAGCTAAGAAATACACAAAGGCTGCCTGAAGCCTGACCCCTCACCTGGGGGAAGGGCTGGCATTTGCTATGACTGTGGGTTGGCTGCGGTTTCTGAGTTTCTGTGAAGTGCTGCAAGGAGGTTGTCTGACCCCAGAAGGGGATGGAGGTGGCCCAAGTATGTGCATTTTGATTTTGTGTACCTGCAGGTGCTCTGTTTAGCTGAGAGCAGTTTTCTGGATTCACCTAGTGCAGGAGTCAGCAAACTTTTTCTTAAAGGGACACAGTAAATATTTTCAGCTCTGTCAGCCATTCGGTCTCTGTCCCAACTACTTAGCTCTGCAGTTGTGATAGTACATCCTCGAATGGTCATGGCTATGTCCCAATAAAACTTTATTTACCAAATGAGGCCACCAGCCTGAGGGCCACAGCGTCCCAACCTGTAACCTAGCATTCCTCCTGGACAAAATTACACACAACCAAATGCAACCCGTGTCTTATGCTCCAACTGTGCCCTAATATATCAATAGTGTTGGAAGAAATCTCCTTTTCCAAAACAAGCATCATAGCAGAACTGACTACAGAGAAAAATTGGTTTAAAAAAAAAAAAAAAACACTTGAACGTGTAAATTCGACTCAAGGTTAACCGTTTTGACAAAGTCAGAAGAAATTTAGTTTGGAGAAGGGCCAAGTGCAGACAGCTCACTGCAGGGTCAGTCTGTCTCACTGCATGGGTCAATTTTATACCATCCTAAAAGCCCTACACACTCTCAAGATAAACAGGTCCCTCGTAGAAGGAAATAGCATGCTATAAACTCTATTACTGAAGTAGATGAAACTTCAACCCAGTTACAGAAACAAGCGGTTCCCTCAGCGCATGTGCCTAAAGCTCCGAGGAAAAGTGCAGGGTCTGAGGCTGAGAAGGACATGCGGGGCACCGGGCCCAGTGCGGGCAAGGGGGGTGTGCACCAACAGAGAGATGTTTGAGCTGGGATGGAAAGTGTGAATCAAGCACAATGGGCTGAGTGGCTGGAGACCTGGGGGGCCCTGGGGGATGCCCTGCAGTGGGAAGGAAGCCGCAGGGCCCAGCTTCTTCAGGAAACCAGGACTTGTCTTCACCCTCAAGGGCTGGGGAGACAGGGGTCATCTGTGCCAGGAAAAGCCTGAGACGGGCGCTTTACCTGGCGGGGAGAGGTGGGGGGTGGATTCAGGAGGACACAGGTCGACACCACACCACCCACAACTGTCTCGGGTCCTGGGAAGGCAGGCAGCAGCATCATAGCCCTGCACCCTGTCCCATGGGATGGATCAAGAGTCCAGAACAATCCCCTTGGGTGGCTAAAGGTCTGCACTTAGTGCATTCTCTGCCTGGGGCTCAGCCTCCACCCCGTCAGGGCCTTGGTCCTTCAATTCTGCTGACATTTACATGAACACTGGGCCTGACTGGTGGGCAAGTCACTTCACCTCCCAACCTGGTGGCATCCTGTCCACCCCACACTGGGGCTCCCTGGACCTGGGGACTCAATGTGGGTTTTCTGAGCCTTCTGCCTGGTGTTAAAAGAGACCAACGCAGCTCACTAGGTGGACAGTCACTTGACAAAAATGAGAGACGTGACCAACAAATTCTGTCCTGTTGAAGGGGCTCAGTTGTTCTCTCAAAGGCTTCTCATGAGGTGGGCAATCTCATCATCAGCCCCTATCAGCCAGCACGCCTGGGCTCTTCTGGGGAGGCCAAGGGCAGCAAGAAAAGGGGAAAATGGACAAGGAACACATGGCAACCCCAACTTGGGAGCATCTGGCCCCACCCGATGGACACTCTATTGGCAGAGGATGGATGCAGGAAACTGGGATGTCAACAGACCTCCTCGCTCCTTGAAGCTGTAGCATACCAGGCTAGTTACATACCAAGCAACCTTGCACCACACACAAATGTGTGTGTGTGTGCACTCACACTCATGCATACTCACACACACACGTGTGCCCAAACACATGCACACCATACACACTCATACATGTGTACACACAGAGTTTTCATCCCCTCCTCCCACTTCTCGCTTGATTATCTCAGAAAAGATCTTTCTTCTCTGTTCAATTCTGAACAAAAGGACAACAGTTCTCATGGGTGATCATTGGCTCCTGATCCACCTGTCTCAAGTAGAAGGAAAACAATTAAGTATGGAAATGAGATGGGACATAGGAGCCAGAATCACCAACATCTAAGGCACGTGAAGGAGCCCAGAGCCCTGCAGGGCCTCACGTGGATTCCTACACGCCTCCGCCACTTCAACCCACAATTCCCTAAACCCAGTCCGAAACAAACAACTTCACACCCAGGTGGAGCGGCAGAGCAGTTTCAAATCACTAGCACTACAACCATGCTTGTTTCTACTACTTCATGCACATGGTAATTTAAGCTTCCAGAGAAGGCAAAGATCTGACCGCTGTTTACTGTTGCTTATCTGGGTGACGCGTGAACCCAGAAGGAACCTTCTGCAGCACGAGGAGCCTGGTCAGTTACTAACCACCTAGGACACTCCTTCTCCTAGTTCACAGCCCACCTGGCCCAGAAGGATGCGGATGCTGATGGCCTCCTGACAAACTGATCCTGCACTGGACAGTGACCTCTGAGGGGCCAGTGACTGGGCAGCGTCCCCTCTGCAGAGGGTGGAGGAGGAGCAGCTTGGGGTCCCCACCTTCATGGGAGCAAAGAGCCAGCAAGTGCTGTGAGATCAATGTGCAAATCATCATTTTACTACAATTCAACACCAGAAAAGGAGTCCACCCTGTTGGTCTAGAGCAGGGGAAGAATCCAGAAATGCTTCATTTGAGCTAAGCCCCAAGGGTAGAATCTAGATTTGTAGAGACAGAAGAGGGAGGAAGAAATGGCAGCAGCAAAGGTGAAGTGGCAGAAACAGACACGTGCGTGAAAAGCCATCTCCAAGAAAAGCAGATGAAGCCAAATAAAAGGAGATTAAAACTTTTAACGTCTGTTTTTTTAATTGGAACGAGGTCGCTTGGAAGGAAGAAGCATCCCCGTTATAGAGAGGCCACTTAGTGTGAGAGGCCTGCAGTGAAGACCAGGCCTCCCTCAGGAGTCCAGTGATTGTGGGGTGGGTGGGATGGGGGTCCTGACAGGCCATCAGCCTGGGAGGAGTGGGGAGGACTGTAACCTTTAATTGGGTCCTGAAGGACAAAAGAGGGGAGCACTAAGAGCTGTGAAATGGTATAGAGTACGCTCCAAAAGACACATGCACGCAGGCAACTTAAATGAAGTGCCTCCAGCCACTCCATCAAACAAATCAATTTGAGCACTGGCGCTGTCCTCCGGCGACCTCTCCACCCCCAGCGCCCACAGGTGCTCTCTACCTAACCCTTCCAGCAAGAGACACCATCTATAAGTGCTGCGCTTAGCTTGGAAGCAGGAGTCAAAAGGGGAAGGTTAAGTTCAGGAGCATCTCACCGTCCTCCTAACACGGCACTTCTAACATCCCAGGTGTGCCCCAACACTACACTGCTAGATAATGCCATCCCTTCCCTGCTCTCCATCTGAAATGCTAATGACCCATCAAAATAAGCCCATCACCCCCGAGGGGGTTGAAGGTAAAGTCAGACCAAGACATTCATCCTCTCCAGTCATTTTCAGTCCTTGGTTCAAGAACCACCCAGAAATGCAGGTTGTTAAGACTGAAAGGAGTAAAAAGAACCAGCACCTCTGTTTTCACATTTACAAATAAACAGACATTTACACTCTGATTTTTTTTTAAGGTGGAGGACTTGTAAATGATGCCTCCAAAATAATGCTTTTTTGGGATATATTTAACAAAATTAACCTAGAGATAACATAATCAAGTAGTAACCATCAACATTTTAAAAATAAAACCTTAATAGTCTTGAGATTACTAAAGGCAAATCCCACGTAGACCTACACTGCACTGGTAGCATCTCACTCCAGCACTGTGTGTGGGAACAAAGCAGGTTCCAGGAAAGTAATCTCCAGAAAACTGACAGTCACTGCCTTTGATGAGGCTCATGTCACAGGAACAGCCAAGTCCCTAGACCTCTATTCCCCCTCTGGAGTCATGGGGTAGAGCGGGGGGAGATTGGAGAAAGCACAGACCCTATCCGGGGAAGATGGTGTAGGGATTATGGTGTAGGGATTATGTTTATCTTCCCCTAGACACAGCTGATCTCCTTCAAACAGGGAACATCACCAACCACACTGGCCACATGGATCCCACTCAGCTCTGTCTACACCGTGGCCCCCTGCCTTGGCCCGTGAGCCTCCCTCCCTGGTGACATGAGATGAAAGCCTATCTTCATCTCCAGTTGTGGCACACAGTAGGAAAAATACACCTAAACTGATCACATTTTAAGAAGAGGAGAGCCTGGTAGCAGGTAAGTGTCTTTAAAACTGTTGATAGAGCCAGCCCTGATGGCCTAGCGGTTAAAGTTCAGTGTGCTCCGCTTTGGCGGCCCAGGTTCGGTTCCCGGGTGCGGAACCACACCACTTGTCTGTCAGTAGCCATGCTGTGGCAGCTCACAAAGAACCAGAAGTACTTAACAACTAGAACATACAACTATGTACGGGGCTTTGGGAAGGGGGGAAAAAAAAGAGACAGAAAGATTGGCAACAGATGTTAGCTCAGAGCGAATCTTGCCCTGCAAAAAAAAAAAAAAAACTGTCGCTAGCTCCCCCAGGCTCACACTGGAGATGATAACTTGGATTTTGTATTTGCTCTCTTAAAAGTGCTCAGTAAGCACCCAATGCTGCTCACTTGGAAGTGGCCCCACATAGGCATCTGAGCCTCTGATGGCTGGGGCCTATGCCCAAAGCCCAACCCTGCAGCCCCAGAGAGAGAAACAGATGCTGCCAGAGAACACGACATAGAAACAAAGGTGCCGCCTGTGGAGGGGAATCTGAGCAATACTAAATGTCCACAGGGAACCAGTGACCAGGCTGGTGTGGGACATCACTGTGAGGCAGAGCTGATGGAGTTTCCTTCCCATTGGAAAGGACCAGCCCTCTATCCCCTCCCACCTGGCTCCTGGGCTGCACCTCCTTGGCCCGCAAAGGGTTATGCCTGCCATTTCCATGCCATCTGCAATGTGCCCATTGGGTGTCACATCACAAAATGGGAGGCCTTAACCCTTCCAGGGCCGACTCCTTAAGGGCCTGGCCGCCAGCTCCATCAAGGCCTGTGGCTGGAAATGGCTGGGAGATTTTGCATGGAAAATTCCAGGAAGGGCCAGAAAAGCTTTCTCCATTCCCAGGAGGAAACATGAGTGGAAAGTAGGAGAACCAAGTGTGCATCTTTAGTCATTTTCATCGGGGTGCCCAGTAATGTGATGACACCGTTGCCTGGAGGCCCTGCCTGGGCTTCTTTCATCAAGCTCCTCCCTGCACAAACTCCTACAGTGGCAGAGCCGTCCCAGGAGGATCAGAGCTAGCAGGGAAACCTACTTCTAGGAGTAAAGTAAGTTTCTGGTCTTGACGAAGCCCATGGGCCTAAGAAACAGTTCCTACCAATGAACAGTTCTTGTAGCACTTCCTGCACAGCTGTTAAGAGCTAGAAAGAAATCCTACTTCTCTCCTCCTCCCTGTAAGTAGAAATCTTCCCCTTGGGCAGGGGGTTGTTCCAGGTATAGACACCTACACCAACCTCCAGGAAACAGCCGAGCTGAGCTAGAGGGGCATCACATCAGCGGTGCTTTTGTGAAACATGCTACTCAAGGTAAAACCAAGGCTTCACCCCAGCCTCCAGGTCCTGTCAGCCTCTCTGACCTCGTCTCCTGCCATCCCCCATGTCTCCGCTACCCCTTGACCCCATTCTCTCAGCTCTGGCCACACTGACATCCCACGTCCCAGCTGCTCCTCTGACAGCCAAGCTCATTCCCACCTCAGGGCCTCAGCACTTTCTGCTTCCTCTGCCTGGAAGGCTCCTCCCCTAGATCTCTGTATAACACTCTCTTCAGGTCTCAGCTGAGACAGCAAAGTGACACACATGCCCCTCAGTCGGTCTCTACCTCCTTTCCCATCTCATCACCACTCTTGACTCATCTGTTTGTGTGCCTGCCCCTGTCCCCCACAAAACCAGGGAACACTTTTGTTCAGTGCTACCATCCCAGGGCCCAGGACAGAACAGGTGCTCAATATATATTTGTTAAACAGATGAGAAAAAAGTACTTTCAGAACTCCCAGCTATCTCCCTCCCCTTCCTGGTTAGTCCTCACGGCAATAGAAAAGATAATAAACAAAACTCTTACCTCACATCATATATGAAAATTAACTTGAAATGGGTCAAAGACCTAAATATTAAAAGCTAAGCCTATATAAAACTCTCAGAAGAAAATATAAGGGTAAATCATGACCTTGGATTTGGCAATCGATTCTTAGAAATGACACTAAACACACATATCAGCAAAAGAAAAAAGATAAATTGGACTTCATCAAAATTAAAATTTTTTGTGCAAAGGACACTATCAAGAGAGTGAAAAAACAACCCACAGAATGGGAGAAAATATTTGTAAATCATATATCTGATAAGGATCTAGTTTCCCGAATATATAAAGAACCCTTAAAACTCAACAACAAACCCAATTCAAAAATGGGCAAAGGACTTGAATAGACATTTCTCCAAAGAAGATATACAAATGGCCAATAAGCACATGAAAAGATGTTCAAGATCATTAGTCATTAGGGAAATGCAAATCAAAACCAAAATGAAATACCTCCTCACACCCACTAAAAAAAAAACCAGCTAAAATAAAAAAAGGAAAAGTGTTGTAGAGGATGTGGAGAAACTGGAACCCTCATAACATTGCTAGTACGAATGTAAAATGGTGCAACGATGTGGAAAACAGTCTGGCAGTTCCTCAAAAAGTTAAATACAGAATTACCATATGACCTAGGAATTCCACTCCTAGTATATACCCAAGAGACATGAAAATGTATTCAAACAAAATTGTGTACACCAGTGTTAAAAGCAGCAGTATTCACAATAGCCAACAAGTAAAAGCTCAAATGCCCATCAATGGATGAATGGATAAACAAAATGTGGTATATCCATCAATGGAATATTATTGAGCCATAAAAAGGAATGAAGTCACAATGCAGATGAACTGTAAAAACACGCTAAGCAAAAAGAAGCCAGACACAAAAGGCCATATAGTGTATGATTCCCTTAATCTGAAATGCCCAGAACAGGCAAATCCATAAAGAGAGAAAGTAGATTTGTGGTTGCTAGAGCCCTAGGAGGTACAACTGTGGGGGAGCGGGGAGTGATTGTTTAATGAGTACAGGTTTCTTTTTGGGGTGATGAAAATGTTCTGGAATATGAGGTGATGGTTGCACAATACTGTCAATGTATTAAATGCCAATGAACCGCACACTTTAAAATGGTTAAAATGGGGAATTTTATGTTATGTGAATTTTAACTCAGTTTTTAAAAAAAAAAAAAAAAAGCAGGAAAAACAAAAACAAAATTCTAATCCCAAGAGGCACAACCCCTCTAGAGCTGCTAAACTACTAAAAGACAAAAGCGGGTTTACTCTGACCCCAAGAGCACAGAAACAGGTCCTCAAGGAAAGACTCCTTTGTGCAACAAGATCCCAAACAACCAAAGAGCGATCGTCCGCCAGGGCATAGCCCCTCCTTGGACATAACCATCTACTTCTCACAGGAACCGAGGAGGCCGTGGTAAGCCCAACATATAGGTGGGAACTAAGAACCATCTCCCAGCAAAGGAGCTGATGCCTTGGAGTGTGACCACGTGGGACACACAAAAGACAATTTACCTATGAAGAGCCAAAGCGGAGAGAGGGTAAAGCCTCACAGACAGCTGGAGTCACACGGGCCACCACAGGCAGAGCTGGATTCAAGTCAGGCCCATCACAGGCTTCACACTGGGAATGTGCCGCCCCACCTCAGTCTCACAGGTGTTTCACTCGTTCACTCTTCTAAACACCTGTTTAGTTTCTACCAGGGACCAGAGCTGACTTGGCCCCAGGGACATCCCTGGGGGGCTCCAACGACAAGCCTCCCATCCAGAACACCACAGGCCCTAGAAGGACACACAGAGGTTGGGGGTGGGCAGTGGACACAGAGCAGGCCGAAAGACCCAAGGCGAGGTCCCTCCTACACTGGGAGTGGCAGCGATCCCCAGATCATAGACAGGATCAAACTTGTAAAGCACTACTTTTTATAAGACGAAGCCATGTTGAAGACCAGCTAACCTACCTACTTTATCCACTTTCTTACTGGCTGTGGCTGCTAGGGACGGACAACACCAATGGGGAGGTAAGACTGGTCTCTAATCAAGAATATATTAATTTACGTCTGAAAACAATGTATGGGATGTCAGAGTCAGAGTACTGAAGTAAAGAAACACCTGTGGTAATAAGATGCACTCCAGGTACTGGGGGGTGGGGAACAGAAGGTGCCATCGGCACCAGAATGATGCCAGCCAGGTTCACCTACACACACCTCAGCTTCCTCAGCTGTGAAATGGGAACAGCGCCCACTTTATCACTAACGCTCTTTGAGGGCTCCATAAAGGTGCTATTATTACAGAAAATAAGAATGCTGCAATGAGAGGCTATTCCACCTGACAGGCCACCAGCTACAGCCCCTCACGGCAATTCCAGAATCTCTGCTGAATGTTTTTGGCTTCAATTTCAACTTACCACAAGCGGCCACCTCCCTCATTTTTGCAAATAGATGTTTTCCCCTGCCCTGGGTGACATGCGTCATAAAGCTCCCAGAGGGAATGCCTGGGTCAAACTCATATTTTAAACTTCTGATTATGGAAAATTGCAAACATACCCACGGAAGTAGAGAGAACAGCACAAATAACTCACCCACCACCCAGGCTCCATGGTCATCGGGCAACCAACCTTGGCCTTCCACACACTGCTCCTTTCTCCCACACCCCACCAGCTTCTGGGAAGCAAATCCTACACAACATGCATTTATGAACGAACAGGTCAGTATTTATCTCTACAGGACAAACCACAATCACACCTTCGACAACTGAACAATCAGTCCTCAATCTCTGTCAGAGTCACACTTGTTGGAGACCTATAGGTCCCCCCTACTTTCCTTTCTATCATACGTTGAAGAAATTAGGTCATTTGTCTTGTTTCCCGCAGTCAGGTTTTGTGGGTGGCGACCCTGTGGCGGAACAACACACCCCTGATTTCCCATAAATTAGATTTTGAGACATGACCAGTGCACGTCCCTCCAGATGCATGTGCGCCCTCTTTAGGGACTGGCAGCCACTGAGGATCACTGTCTGGACCCACCATTTCATTAGGCCTCTGCAAACATATAAACTTATAATTTCATAATTTCACGTTAATTAGCCAGAATATGACAATAGGTACACTGTCCATTAGCCACATGTGGCTATACTCATATAGATTTAAATTAAATAAAATTCAAACTTGACTTCCTCCTCAGTCACACTATTCCAGATACTACATTGTACAGTGCGGATAGAGAGCATTCTGGAAAGTTCTGTGGGACAGCACTGATCTGTGAGGGAAACTTGCCCCTACCCACTATTTTGTTCCTCGCGAGTTCAGTCCACAGAGAAGAGGCAGGATAAATGTTTGCTTCTTTCCTTCTATATACCAATTTTCAAAACAATTTGGTTCCCTAACACCCTCCAAAGGAGACCAGTGAGTGCCTTCCTTTCCTTTGAGCACCAACATGAACCTGTGGATTTTTAACACATTTGATGCTCCCAACTTAGGAACTCGTTCTCGTACACACTCACCTGTCCCACATTTGGCCAGGGGTGCCCCTGTGGGTCCTTCTGACACAACCCTGGTACCATCTTACACAATCGGGCCATTCCCAATGAAGATTTAGAATTAAAACCTTTAAACTTAAGTGCTTTGATCTTATATTTGCATATTTCTTTCATCCTGAAAATTTTGGTTCTTAAAGACATTAATTACTTATTTGTTTTCTCCTACAATATCTAACAGTAAGACTATTGGTATTATTAACCTGAAACCAAAAATAATTCCTAAAAACAGTTAAAGATTTTTAAACAAATTTTCCCTTTATGGCATATCTCACTAAAACATTTACTGTCAAACTTCTGTGTTTTAAAGTCATGTGAAATAAATCCTCTCTAAGAGGTTAAGTCACCAACTTGAGTCACAACTGACATGCACTTAGATTCATTTATTTTGTTTTGCTTTTTAGGGATTGCCCCCACAAACATCTGGCATACTTTTATGTTATAATTATGTAAAACATACATCTGGTGCTACATAGAGAGGCAACCTCAGAGAAGTCTCAGGGTAACCCTGTCCCCTCTCATCCCTCCTTCTGGAGATGACTGTGTGGTTCATTTATGGTTTATACTTTCATTTTTAAAAATACAATATAAGTTGCATAGAACCACACTACTCGTCTCTGTCAGTTGCCAGGCTGTGGTGGCAGCTCACTTAGAAGAACTAGAAGGACTTACAACTAGAATATACAACTATGTACTGGGGCTTTGGGGAGGGAAAAAAAATACAACATAAGCAAATACACATACATCCACATCCCCCCACCTTTCCTCATGGGGGATAAAAGTGAGTGCACTAGATCTCTTTATTCTTCACCTTGTTCTTTTTTCCACTCATCATTTCACCCTAGAAATCCTGTCACCATGACATGAAGATATCCCTCCTTCCCTTCACTTACTGGCTCAGCTCCCACCCCACATGCAGATCCACCCCCATCACTCCCAGCCCCAACTAAGAAACAGCTAAGTCATTTCCAGTTTTGCTATTTCAGAATGTTGTATGCACAGCCTTGTCACAATCCTTATTATTATTTTTTTTGGTGAGGAAGATCATCCCTGCACTAACATCTGCCAATCCTCCTCTTTTTTTGCTGAGGAAGACTGGCCCTGGGCTAACCTCCGTGCCCATCTTCCTCCACTTTTTATATGGGATGCCGCCACAGCATAGCTTGCGAAGCGGTGCGTCGGTGTGCGTCTGGGATCCGAACAGGCAAACTCCGGGGCGCCGCAGCGGAGTGCACACACTTAACCGCTTGCGCCACCGGGTCAGCCCCAACACAATCCTTATTTTTGACAGTGTAGCTTTGGGATACATTTCTAGAAGTGGAATTGCTGGAGCAAAAGGCAAGCAATCCCCCTCTGAGGAGTTGTGAACCCCCAAAAGCAACATATGGCAATGCCTGATTCCCATCAACAGAACGGTGTCCACCTCTGAGGACAAAAGGTCAGATGCTGTCGCAGGGAAGCTCCCACAAGCATCATTCTTGGTATCAGAAAGACTGAGCATCTTTCATACCTTGGTTAAGGGCCATCTGCATATACTTCTGTAAATTGTCTGTTTTTCTATGAGTCACATTCATTTTTGATCCTTAACACCCAGTGCAAGGCCAGTCTCTCAGCATATGAGCAGTGTGTACCTGCTGAACCAACCCAACAGGTGAAATTTGAGGGCAGACACCACATCCATTAGCCCGAGCAGGCTCAGTGTGCACACCAACAACTGCATACAACGTGAGGTGCTGTGTGGGGGTTGTGTGCACGCGTTAGGGCTCTCTGGGAGGCAGCCCTCCTCCCACCCTGCTCCCCCTCTGTGCCCATTGGGTCCTATGAAGCAGGAATGGCGAGACCCCAGCTGACCACAGGCCATGGTTCAACTTAAAGTGGGTGTGGGCTGGTGCTAACCAGAGAAAACCTAAAATCAATCGATTTGCTGGGCTGACTTACACCCATGACAAAAAGTACATGGGCTGACACATCTATAAACCTTTAAAAAATAACCACTCAAGGTTGTTTTTTTGCCTGTTTGACATTAACCATCATCTGCCATGACTGTTCACAGACTGTCCTTGCCCATCAGCCCCTCCATGCACTGGGAGGGGAGAGACAGGGCCTAAAGGAACACCTGGGATGGCTTCCGGAAGTTCTCTTCCAAACCCTTAAACTGACTGCTTATAATGCTATGGCTGTGTCTTCCCTGCTGGCCCTGTGACAGGGAAGGAGGAGGTTTCTTTCTTTCTTTCTTTCTTTCCTTTCTTTCTTTCATTCAGCAAGTACTTACTGCTCAGATCATGTACTTCTGAATTAAAGGGCCAGGCAGAGCTGGGGCGCCCAGCCAAGGACCTAGAAGAACTCTGAGCCAGCCGCTGCCCTCACACATGAGGGACAGTCACTCACCCCACTGGGCTGCAGGTAAAACCTTTTCCAGATGTAAAGTTCCACGATTTTTAAACACTGATGTCTAAAGAGAGCCTATTGACAGCCAAGTGCCAGGCCTACCTCTTCATGGCTGCCCCACTGCATGCTGCCACGAGCACCAGGGAACCAGCACTGTCAACACATGATAATCCTCAACTAGCTCTAGGAAACTGGCACAGACTTTGAGTCACTTGTTGTCTCCAAAGAGCTCTGGGGTCCTTGGGCAGGGCTGGGGGGATGTAAAATGGTGCAGCTGCCATGACAACTGTCCGGCAGTTCCTCAAAAAGTTAAACACTTACCAAACGACCCAGCAATTCTACTCCTAGGGATATACCCAAAGGAACTGAAAATATGTCCACACAAATTTGTGTACACACAAATGTTCATAGCAGCACTATTCACAATTGCCAAAAGGTGGAAACAGCCCAAATTCATCCCAGATTAATGGATAAACAAAATGTGGTCTATTTTATGGAATAGAAATGGAATATAGAAATGGAATATTACTCGGCCATAAAAATGGATGAAGCACTGATTCATGCTATGTGGAAAAACTTCAAAAACATTACACTGAGTTAGAGAAGCCAGACACACAAGGTTGTATATTGTATGAGTCTGTTGACATAAAATGTCCAGAACAGGCAAATTCAGAGTTAGAAAGTAGAGTAGTGGTTACCAGGGGCGGGGGAAGGGAGAGTGACTGCTAATGGGTGTGGGGTAAAGAAAGTGTTCTGGAACTAGATCAAGGTGGTAGTTGCACAACTCCTGAATACACACACAAAAAAGTCACTGAATTGTATACTATAAATGGGTGAACTGCATGGTATGCAAATTATCTCAATTAAAAAAAATTTTTTTTAAATACTGGTAAAGTTTGTTTTTGTTGGGAGAGTGTTCTGGAAATGTTTTCCGGACACCATACTTGACCATGCCCATATTTTCTTGCTATATGCAGGTAAGAGCTGAAACCTCAGAAAACCAACCCCCTAACCCTTGTCACCTACCATGCTCAGCCCAGTAGGTGAGTCCAAGCAGCCAGTTCTCACCCCATGCAGCTGTGAAGCTATTAGAAGGGCATGCACCCCTCGGCAAGTCACCTGCCGGCTGGCCTGTAACAGGAAGCAGCTGACCGACCTGGGAGGTTTCCAAGCTGCCTCCAAGTTCTAAGACATCTCTCAGTTCTACATTCTTCTCCAGGTAGGCAAACCTGGCCCAAAACATCACTGCCTGGGCCCTGATGGTAACAGACAAAATCCCACCCAAGTGCTGGGCTCTGCCCTGCCAGGTCCTGACAGCCCTGGACAGTCTCTACTTGAGAGCCCTAAGCAGGGAGACCAGCTCAGTTTCCCACGAGGCACAGAGCAGGGTAGGGTCGACCAGCTCTAAGCATCAGTGCAGGGAGGCCCTGCACCGCTGAAGGTAGTTAAGGTAAAATTCGACTCATTTCAGTGAGCATTGGGAAATCACAGAAACGGCCAGAGGGCAAAGGCCACCTGGCCAGGATTATCCTCTGCCCCTGATCCTCACACAGAGAATGGCTCATCCTATTTGGACCTGGGCTTTTCAAACAAATGATCCCTGAGTCCAGGGGAGAGCAAATGGCCACCCTGGAGGGGGTGGGCAGGGTCTCAGCAACCTCATGGAGACAGCCCAGCATGCAATCCAGGAGGGACTTGCCTCCCTCCGTCTTCCCTAGGAGGGGACCATCAGCTTCTGAAGCAGTGCTCAGTTTCAAATGTCCAAGTTGCTGACTGAGGTCTGCTGGACAAATCAGAACCTTCATTCCACAGATACTAGACCTCAAGCACTCACCTGGCTCTGGGCATGGGACGCTGGTCCTACCAGCCGGCCATGGTGACAACTATGTCAAAAGGCAACTTGCGTCAACGTGCTGACCAACCTAAAGCAAAGGACAGAGAAAGAAACAGTGAGTTTCCAAGGAAAGTTTCTGGAACGTACCAATAATTTTAAATGTCTCCAACCCCTGGAACTACACAGCAAAATTTTAAATTTCAGCCAGAGCTCTGCCTCTGCTACCTTACACGGCGGGGGTGGGGGTGGGGGCAAGCTGAGGAAATAAATTTTTACCAGACTCTGACATATGACCTGATATGGTGCTAACCAATAAATACTAGTGTCCCAGATGCCATCTTCAGCAATATGGATGGAGACATGAGATGGTACACAGCCACATGCCAACATAATGAACACAGACAATGGTTCAAACTTTGGTTATAACAGTAATGACATTAACAGCAGAAACAGTAATACCTAGCATTTAATAGGTGCTTAGTAGTGAGTTCCAAGTACTATGCCAAAACTCAGTATCTCTTGAATCCCCAAGACAATCTTAGCGGTAGGTTACAGTATCATCCCCACGTTAAAGAAAAGAGATCTGGTGTGTCTGATATTCAGGAACTTGCCCAGGGTCACCCAGGTCTCCCTCTCCAGACATGCCCTCTTCACTCCCTGGTCCCTGCTCCCACACACAGTCCCCAAGGAAACCACCCACCATTCCAGGCAGTGCTGGGTTTGCCCTCGAGAAGTTGAAGGCAGATGTGCCTGGGGCAGGCAGGCTTCACCTCCACAGGGCAACTCGCAGTTTTACCCCAGGCATCATCTCCTGAGCTCAGAATGGCCAGGGAGGAAGGGGCTGCCTGGTTTACAGTCAGGAAAACTAAGGCTCAAGAATGTTCAGGAATTCTCCCAAGGTCAGAGACAGAGCGGCCCCAGTACTTCCCTTACTTTGTGACATCAGACACCCAGTGCTCTGGGTGCAGAGGCTGAACTCAGCAAACCAGCCAAATCCCTGACTCCCAAACAGGGCTGTCAGTTGTAGCTTGCTGAATATTATCAGTATCACCTCCGTTGTCATTCTTTGCGCCCACATGACTACCAGGAGCTTGCTCTGATATGAAGGTTTTATTTTTAAACTGGGTTCACAGTAATTCACAGCTCTTGGACAGCAAAAAACACTCCCACTGGAGAACTTGCAAAATAAGCAAATATCAGTGAACTCTATGGAAAGAACTCTGGGCACCCAGGAGCTCACAGCACTCTCCTCAGTGAGGCCGAGGGCCGACCCTGGCCACCACCAGAATTAGCTCCTGGGAAGGGGGGCCCTTCTGCTGCTCTTTTTGGTCCTATTCAGGCTCGGAAACACAGTGGACACCCTTAATCGTAGTTCTTTCACACCTTCCCAAGCCAAGGCCTCTCTCTGCCATGGAGGGGGAAGCCTCAGAAGCAAGGGCCCTGGGCTTTCGGAGCAGCTGCTCTCTTCAGGATCAAGGTCAACACACAAAAATCAGAGATATTTCTACACACTGGCAACAAACAACGAGAACTCAAAGGTTTAAAAAAATTCCATTTACAATAGCATAAATGTGAAATACTTACAGAGAAATTTCATTTAAAAAAATATGCAAGACCTGTAAACTGAAACTACAATAAGACATCACTGAGAGAAATGAAAGAAAACCTAAATAACTGGAGAAGAGGGGCCGGCCCCATGGCCTAGTGGTTAAGTTTGCACACTCCGCTGCTGGCGGCCCGGGTTCGGATCCCCAGCACGCACCAATGCACCACTTGCCAGGCCGTGCTGTGGTGGCGTCCCATATAAAATGGAGGAAAATGGGCAGCTATGTTAGCCCAGGGCCAGTCTTCCTCAGCAAAAAGAGGAAGATTGGCATGGATGTCAGCTCAGGGCTGATCTTCCTCACAAAACACATACATACACATACACACACACACACACACATAAATAAATGGAGAGAGATGCCTTGTCCCCTGGTCAGGTGTCAATTCTCCCCCAAATTGATCCACAGATTCAAAGCAGCCCCAGTTAAAAATCCTCAACATACTTTTTTGTAGAAACAACAAGCTGATTCTAAAATTTACATGGAAATGCAAAGGATCTGGAGTAGTGAAAACAACATTAAAAAGAGGAATAAATTTGGAGGACTTACCCTACCTGATTTCAAGACTGACTTACTTTCAAGTTACAGTAACCAAAACAGTACAATATGGACACAAGACAGACAAGTAGGGGCCGGCCCCACGGCTTTGTGGCTAAGTGTGTGCGCTCCGCTACTGGCAGCCCGGGTTCGGATCCCGGGCGCACACCGACGCACCGCTTTTCCTTCTCTGGCGATGCTGAGGTGGCGTCCCACATACAGCAACTAGAGGGATGTGCAACTATGACATGCAACTATCTACTGGGGCTTTGGGGAAAAAAAGGAGGAGGATTGGCAATAGATGTCAGCTGAGAGCAGGTCTTCCTCAGCCAAAAGAGGAGGATTGGCTGGGCCGGCCCCACGGCTCAGTGGTTAGGTGCGCGCGCTCCACTACCAGGGGCCCACGTTCGGATCCCTGGTGCGCACTGACACACCGCTT